TTGCGCCCTTATTGGTCTATTGCGGATTTGCACGTTATTGCTGGAAGCGTCTCACTCTAACGGTTTCCACTATGTCATCCTGCGACGTTGTAGCGTTGTTATGTAAGGAAACTTAAATCGGCTTGTGAATTTTTCGTAAAAGGTATTGACTAAAGTGTGAATATTTGCCCAAAAAGAACTGTAAGGACGATAGCCAGTTTTTCTTCACATGACCTGTACAGTCGAGCCCCCATTAAGCGACCACCTATTGAACGGCCGCCTCTATTAGGCGGCCAGTAATCATAGTCCCGCTGAGGGTTTTTCTATTGCTTTTACCTCTATTAAACAGCCAGCCCCCTCTAAGCGGCCATTTCCCCGAGGGTGGCCGTTTAATGGGAGTTGAACTGAAGTTACACTGAAGTTACCGTCTTCCCATAGCGGGAATGTTTTTTGGGTGAAAAAAGTTCCATTTTGTATCCAATTTTGTACTGTCACTGATCAGTAGTTCGTGCGGATGAGATCGATTTCTTTCTCTTTTTTTTACATCATTTGATGTTAGAAGATTAACGAAGGCAGTTCGCTCAAAACCTTATAACGTTTTCTTTTTTTTTTATCGGAATATAACTTGTCGATTAAATAAACACGTACATGGATTTTAATTCACGTCAAAATGTTTGAATGCTAGTGACTCGCGATATTTGATTTATTTGTTTTGTCTCCCACGTATCGAAATATAACCAGTACCCTTCTGTTTCAGATTATCCACCGAGACCTGGCAGCTCGTAACGTGTTGGTTGGTGAAAAAGAAACATGTAAAGTGACAGACTTTGGAATGGCCAGAGATGTTCAAGAGGACAACGTTTACGAACGAAAATCAAAGGCAAGAGACAAGATGAAGAGTCCCAGAGACTTGTCTCTTCAAAACCCTTCATGTGAACTGTTCAGGAGACAAGTCTCTGACACAAAATGAAAATGATCCAACCGCAGATCAGTATTTATTTTAATAGTTTTTCAAAGTCCGCTTTGCTCTGATGATGGTTTAACGCTCGAAATGTCAGCTTCATTAAGTATCTACGGTGGTTAATTTTACATTTTTTTTTATTGCCCTGGTATATATATCTCAGGTTTGCTCTTGGAGAGCAAAAGAGTGAAAAACAATACCTTTCTCCCAAGATTTTGAGCTAGGTGTTCCTTTGCAATCAGCGTCCTCATGTACACACTACAAGGGACCAGTCCCTGCCACATGTTCCCTCGTGTAAACTCTTTACGAGACTAATCACAGGGACTATTCCGGTGGCTTGCAAAATTTTAATATATAGATTTAGGCCAGCCTAAAAGCGTAGCTCCTGAGCCGGGTTATTCACAGCCAAATTAAGCTAACCCAGGAAAAGGTAGAATTTTAATTTGAGTTTTGTAACTTTGCGTTGAGGTTTTCTGCATATTGTTTGGCCTTCTGTTTTGAGTTTTAATGATCACTATATATACCAAACAAAGCAGCAAAAAACATTTGTATGGAAGAAAAAGTTATAATTCGGCTAACTTTTAATCCTGGGTTAGTGTTACCCGGCTTCCGGACAATCCTGCCTTGTTTTCAACAAGTTAACTTGGGATGAGCCCGCGATCCAATCAAAAACTTGCACTTGGTCAGCGGTCAACTTTGAAAAACACTCGACCTCGATGAACCTGCGATATGGTCACGTGATACTGGCACCCTGCGGATACCCTCTTTTGACAGGTGTCAATTGATCATAACTCAGATGTCCGATATCAAAGAAGTACACGGTAAACCAAGGCTGCATATCTCTGTCAACCTATTATTTGGAATATGGCCGCCATGTTGCGCGACTTCCTCGTCGTCGCCAGGGCGGAAAAAGGCCAGGCAATGAAACGGGCAGTCCGCTCTTGGTCCAACGTGTGATGCGGAGAAGGACTGGCACGAGCGCTCCTTCCGCGCTTCCGGTGAGATTAATGGCTGCCAAAAATTTCCTCTCGACGAACCGGAAATCAACTTTTCCTTCTTTATTTTTGAGCCACCAGTGGTGTATTTTCGAAAGCCTTTTTGATGCTTTAGACCCAAAAGTCAATACGTTTATGTCTGTTGCAATGATGCTTAAGTAGTTTCGTCGTGGGCTGCTCAAATTTGAGTGAAGTGAGACAGTGTCGAATGCAGGTATGCCCTGCTTATCATGACCAAGCCGTGATCCGCTTCTTCTTTTACGAGTACTCCACATTACTCCACTCTAAAATTTACATATGTAGAAGATAGATAGCTTTAAAACAACGTATTAAAAAACCAGCTGGACATATTTGGATATAGCAGCGTTTCAGAACTTCAAAGTTTCCCTACCCTGGCCACACGCTTGCTTGGATTTTGCCATAGAGACCGAAAAGTAATAAAATTTTGCGAGTTTGAGTTTCGCCTGAGTTGAAAGCAACACGCCATGTTTCATCAAGGCACAAAACCTTCCGTCTGTAAATACTGCTCAGTTTTGTTTGGGTGAAAATCCAATAAATCGCTGGTTGTCGATGAAAAAGACAGAAAAAGAGCGCCCGCCGATGCGTGTTTTGTAGCTATAAACATGACAAATTGGACTTCAATTCCACTCTTTCGTGTAAAAACGTACATCGAACTCAAACAATATCTCTGGCTTTAAATATGTTTAAGACTGATGAATGTTTGAGAACACATTGTAGTGTCCCGTATGTTCATTGTGACTGTTTTATTATTATGGGATATGTTGTAGCGAGCATGTGGTCTCGAGATGTCAAACGATTAAAACATGTTGTTGTCATGAACCGACTTGTTTAGTGTATTAGGACGAAGACACCACATTTGGCGACGAGGAAAACGGATATTTAACTCGCCGAACGGCTGCTGAAGTGGAAACGAATTTAAAAGGTGGACAAAACTCGCACAGATGGCCGTATGCTTGAGCGGATTAC